TAAAAGCATCATATTCTCATTCATGCCTTTACCGCTCAGGCTGGTTCCCACATGGTAGTGCTCAGTAAATGTCTGTAGGGGTGAATGAATGATGACTTCTTTCCATTTATTCAATTCATTGATTCAAGAACACAGTATCACTGCTTCCATATACTTGCTGCTCTTCCATCTCTCAAAACCCTTCCCAAGGGTCTCTTTTCTGTGAAAACTTCCATAATATTTCTAAGTAAAGTTTATTATTACTTCTGCTTTTATCCAACTGTAAATTCTGAATGTTTTTGAGCACAAACATTATCCTGAGAACTGTGCTAAATGCTTGGCGTAAATAGATCATTTTGGACTTAGTTTGATTCTAGAGTCCATGCTTTTCATTTTATTTTTACTCCACTTCTAGCAAAGTTCTTTATAGACAATTAGAAAATAAAAAAAAGTCTTGAAGGTGGAAAGAACGGAAGAGGAAAGGGGCAGAGAGGGAGATGGAGGGGAGGAAGGAAAGAGAAGAGGAAAGGAATGAAGATGAAAAGGGGGCAGAGAGAGAGACAGGAAGAAGGGTTGTAGGAGATGAGACAAAGAAAAGTGAGGGAGGAGAGAAGAAAAGAGGAAGGGTAGGGGTAGGAGGGAGGGGTGAGTATTGCAACTATTGGAGAGGAAAAAAAAATAAGAGTAACATTTAAATAGCTTTATACAGTTTCAAAAATATGTTTTCATTCATCATATTTGCCTTCCTTAATAACCTGTAAAGTGGATATCATAGTCATCTTGACTCTCTAGAGAGATAAAGGGACTTGTATAAATTGGTTGAACTGGCTCTGTGTACTCAGTCAGTCTTTTGGCTCTGCATGTCTTTTGATAGGTCTAGGATCCCAATCAAAAGTGCAAAATGGCCTTCTCCTAGAATAAAAAGCCCTAGAGTAGGAGTCTGTAGTGTTTTTTGAAGCAAAGCAGAATGGTTGAACATTCAAAGCCGCAGAATGACTGAGATTGTTGATGTGTAATGGGTGGTGCCATAGGGTCTACAGACAGGGGATACAGTATGTGGGATGTGGAAGAGGATAGGATGGAGAATGTCAGCAGGGCAGCATCTAGCCCCATCTTGACCTTTGCATTTTGTGAACTACCTAAAATCATGACCTTGGAGTCAGTCGTTCCTGGTAAGAACATCACCAGGAGACAACCACCTCTTCTAAGGTGGTCTCCGTGTGACCACTTTTTATGTCTGAAGGTAGCTCCATGGGGTCATTTTTTTATGTCAGACTGATGACCCATCTAAAGGGACACCTGAGCCTCACCCTGTAAATCTCTTTCAGAGCTATTTGATTCTTTATAGGTCTCATCGCACATTTTACTTCAATATTTAAATAGTTTCCATTACTTGTCAGATTATAAACTATGCAATGGTAGGAACCGTATCTATTTTATCACCATATATATAGCTTATAATAGTTCCCAAAACATAATAGTCAGTTATTTAATATATATGAATAAGTGAATGGATGAGTGAATGATGATGCATATGCCATTTTCCTTTGTGACTTAGCATTAGTATCATTTTCACAAAGTGTGAAATGTGATTGTACAAACATGGTCAACCCACTACTATTCATTTTTAGCTGGGTGACTATTAATCATTGTCTTTGTGTCCTGCTCTCTATTTTACTTTTACAAGGATTAGGTGTAAATTAGTATTAGAATAAACGTCAATTAAGGCAGAAGAAGAGGAATATAAAAGCCCAAGGGGCAATTGCACATACTCAATGTAGATACCTTTTTAGTCACAAAACTTATGAAGACATCTTAGAACCAAGTGATCCAATTCCTTTTTCTCCCTGATTTTAGAGATCATGCTAAAGGTTTTACATAAGATCACAGGAATGAAATAATAGTGAAACTGGGACCAGATTGAAGGCTCTTGACTTTTAGCTCAGTAATTTCCCCTAATTCATCTTATCTCACATTGTCACAATCATCCAGCTTTAAAATTTCTTGGTTTATGATGTCTGCCATCTGGAAATTTAACAATGAATTTCCAAGTGTAAAATTTAACCTGCCCTCACTTCTCCAAACAAGCATTCAATACTAGTTCCAACTGTGGAAAGAAAGGAGGTAAAATGTGAATGTTTCTTCTAAGCATTACTTAAACCCACCATTTGAAGTCATGCACAATAAACCATTTATCCATGGGTACAACCCTCTTGGTGTCCAATTTCTCACATATGTGATACCAGTTCAAAAATACAACTTGAACTATTTTCATGGTAATGCAACAATGCAATATTGCGAATGTTTCATAAACAAAGGAAAAATCCCAGGTTGGACCATTTGAGGATTCACACATAAATCTGGGTTGCAGATCTAATTTCTGAAATATTTCATTATTGTGACAGACATTGCAAATTAACAAGCATTTTTCTTTTGGGGAAAATCAAAGCCATACCCATTAGCACTAATGAGAAATAAACTCAAAATAGCTTGACAATTAAATAATTCAAATTTACAGAAAAGCCACATCTATTTAAAAACTAATTTCCCCCAATAAGTTACTACAATTTTCACTTTGTAAATTACTCTAGAAATGATTTCATGGGACTTCACTCCTATGCCTTAATACTTAGGAAGAAAATAATGTGCCCAAGTAAAGCATAAGAAAGAAACATGTTATTTAATCCAAGAACTTCAAATTAATGATCAACATAAATACCTTCGACTTTTCTTCACAGGTCCTCTTTCCTTGTTAATACATTATATCCTTTAGGAAGACGTATATTAAGCCTGTAAGTTTACCAGTGGATTCATGCTCCCAGTCACAGGGTGCAGCCAACTTTTACTTGTCTACTCATTCCTAATAAAGTTAGCATTTTGTTTGCAACAGGATTGATTAAAGGACGTGAAGATGAGCTAACTGCAGCACGTATTATCTGTTGCAGTAGCCCTCGTAATTTTAGCTGAATCTTTTGGAATTCTGGTAAAAAAAGAGAGAAAGAGAGAGAGAAGAAAGAAAGAAGGAAAGAAGAAAGAAAGAAAGAAAGAAAGAAAGAAAGAAAGAAAGAAAGAAAGAAAGAAGAAAGAAAGAAAGAAAGAAAGAAAGAAAGAAAGAAAGAAAGAAAGAAAGAAAGGTTTTTATGTTACGTGGAGTCCATAGATTCCATTGTTGGAAATCACCTCAGAAACCCCCCCCTTCTTGAATCTCCTTGACAAATTTTGTGACAAATGTTTGTTTCTTCTTAACTACCTTTTGTGAAGGCATTTCCCCTCCTCACAAAACCCTTCTTCCATTATCTGTTAGCTTTAGTTACCAGAGAATTTGTTCCCTATACTTTCTTAGTTCTAACAGGTCAGTCATAGTTCTGTCCTCTGGGACCCCACATAACAAGTCCAGCCCCTTTCTTATCTGACAACCTGTCATATGTGAGGACCACTGTCATAACTCTAGACATGTTCTTAAACATGGCGACTAAAGGAGTCGCCAATACAGAGGAGGAGAGGGGAGAGGAGTTTGCCTGGATTTGATGGTGCTTCTCAGATGAGACTTGGTTGCTGTCAGGGTAGAGATGGTGAGAAAAGAAATGTGGCTTGACCAGGCGCAGGACCCAGGCACATCATCCCAGATCTATCCTTCCCCATCCTATTTCCTCTTTGATTCTCCCATTACATGCACAAGGCAGAGTAGATGGACCTAAATACCTAAGAAATGGAACAACAAATGCTCCAAGAGCTTCAGAAATGGATTATGAGAGGCTGGCAAAAGACAGGAAGGAAAATAATGAAAAATAAGAAGTAAACAGAACTTAAGGAGAGAATCCATCCTATAAGATAATTAAACGAGTATCTACTACACAGTAGGTGCGCAGTCCACCATTGGCTACATAACTGGACTCTGAAAAAGGATAATAGTTTAGAAAGTGATATCTGTGGAGACTCTGGTAGTTTCCAGGATGTGAACGTTTCTACAAAGCAAACAATAACTGCCACAAACTGCATTTTCTTGCCTGTGTCACTACATAAAGTCATTCACTTGAGAAACACGTGTACAACGTAGAAGAAACATTTTGTGGTCGCAGGTGAAGAAGGTGAGGAGACTTTTTTAAAAAAATTGAATACACTGGCACCACTGCTCTTGAGGATCTCACAGTCTATTTGGGTGGAAGATAGAAACAGATAAATTGTAATATCATCGTGTAATAATATTACAGAGATATGAAAAAAAAATACTGTGAGAGCAAAGAGATCAATGCAGTCTTTTCAATGGTGCCAGAGAAGTTTCACTGAGGACCTCACCTTATAAGATTTTTAAGATAATGCTGAAATGAATATTGAGGGATGAACTAGAGTTTATTAAATTAAAAAGATGAGGAGGGAGGAACTTCTAGTCAGTGATGGGAACTTAGGCATAGGCAGCATTATGAAAGGATCTGGTGGGTCCAAGACCCCAGAAGAGATCAGTGAGGCAGCAGACGGAGGAGGAAGAAACCATTTGGAAGCGAAAGTGGGCCGGATTGTGAAGGGTCTTGTTTGCCAAACCAAAAAGTTGGAATCTTCATTCAATAACTAACTAGAAATGAGAGTTTTGAGATTTCCTAAGTTGAGGTGCTGTGATCGGCTTTATTTTCTAAATCCAAAGGGGGGGAGATGTAATGAAGGTTCTCTAGAAGCAATGTAGAAATTAAATAGAAAAAAATATCAGAAGAGCAGGGAGCCTGACGTGGGGCCCCATCCCAGGGCCCTGACCTCATGACATGAGCGGAAGGCAGATGCTTAACCAACTGAGCCAGCCACCCCTAAATCAGGAGACTTCTGTGACAGTTCTGGGGAGATATGATGCAGGATAGGATTGAAGAGCGGTGGCAGCAATGATGGAAAAAGAATGCATTTTTTTCAAGTTGGGAAAAAACATGTTTATTGTCTAAAAATATACATTAAAAAATCCCCCCCCCAAAGAATCCCCCCAAAAGATGCTAGTCTCTCATTTCCGCTCTTGTCCAATACCCCTGACCTAAGGGACGTTATTCCACCTTTTGAAATCTCATCAAATGTGCAGACAGCGCTCCACCCGTGTGCTCCTCTGCGTCTGCACGCTGCATGTTCAAGTCTCCAGGTACCAGGTGAGCTCTGTCCCCCATTCCCCACCGACTCCCCATTCCTGGCTTTCCTGTTGGTCCACTGGAGAAAGGCTTGGGATCGAGGGGTAAGCTCATCGCAACCACAAGCACATGCTGCAGGCCGCTCGCCACAACCCGGCTGTCACCCGCCCCTGGGTGGAGGGACCAAGAGAATGCATTTATTAAGAGTCACTTCGGAGACTAACTTGGATTCGGTGTCCACCTGGCTGGGACCCTGGCAAGAGAGGTGGAGGAGCTTTCTCGGCTCCTCGGTGGGAGGCTGGTGGTGTCTTGTGGTTAAGATGATAGGATGCTGGCGCTTGTGAGATGGGAGGTGTCCGGGTGCCTCCAGGTGTGCTCCAGGTGTGCCTCCAGGTGTGCGGATGGGCATGACCCCCTCTGGGTTTGGAGGGGAGGGGGCACCTGATGGTTGAGTGGACAGGTCCTGGGGTGGGGGGGGCAGGATCAGCCCCGGGCTGTGTCCCACAGCTGCTGCCCTTAGGCCGGTGCCCGCGGGCCAGCTCCAGGGGAGGCAGATGCCCAGTACCCCCGCAGGTCCCCGGCGGCCAGGACAGCTGCCCCGCGGTGGCCTCGCAGGCAGGATGGCAGGGTGACCGAGGCCCGTGAGTTGGTCGCAGGGGCACAGAGGGCCTCCCGCAGAGGCCTGGGGCTGGAGCGGGCACCTGCTGCCCAGGGACCCCAGTGGGGCCTGAGGCCGGTGGGCACAGGTGCATGGTGCCGGAGCAGGGCCAGGTGAGCAGGGCTGTGCTGGGTCAGGGTGAGGGGGGGGTCACGACAGGGTCAGCAGCCAGGTCCAGAGTTGGTGAGCTTCCCCGCTCCCGGGGTGCAGGCCCTCGTAGGTCTTGGGCCTCACCTGGCTGCTCAGGCTCCCACCGGGGTTCTAGGGCTGCCACAGAGGCACCCGGTCTCGGGGGTGCCAGATCACTGCTGCTCACCAGGGAGCTGGCAGGGGACCCCCTAATCTGTCATGTTACGGATACCATTCCCCCCTCATACCTCTCTTCGGTTAGCACTTCATGATTATTTCATTTATTACAGGCTCCATAAAAACAGGATAGTTTTTTGTTTTTGTTGCTTTTTTTTTTTTTTTGGACCACTTAATAATTTATGGATGGTTTTCTGGGATGGTCATATCGACTTCTGTTAATTTTGCAGTTTGATCACAATTTCTATTGCAGTTTTCTGTTTGTCCCCTTCTGGGCTAGGCATCTGGAGTCGTAGACACAAACACAGTGGTGACATGTGGCCTTCCGCTCTTGTGCCTTGATCGCAGGTCATGTGCGAATGTCATTCGATAAGTAATTGAGGATAAATTGTGCACATCTAAAAATCAGTCTGTGGTTATTTTGCCCTGAATAACTCTTTTAGAGAAAAAGACATCAGCCTTTCTCTTTTGTTTATTTATTTTGATTTGAAATATACTTGATGTACAATATCAGTGTCAGGCATAGAACGTAGTGATTTGACAAGTACATACCTAAAAATGCCGGAGAGTTGTAGTTACTGTGTGTCACCCCTCAAAGTTATTACAGTATCACTGACTGTATCCCCTTGGCCTATTTATTTTATAATTGGAATTTTGTACCTCTTGATCTCCTCCACCTATTTTGCCCATCCCCCATCCCCTCTCTTTTGCCAGCGACCAGTCTGTTCTCTATGTTTACGAGTATGGAGAAAAATACATCCTTGAAGAGTAAAGCCATCCCAAATGTCCTTCTGAAGCATGTATATCCTTCCTTCAACTCATAACACCTTTAACTAGGAATTATAAAATACTCAGTCTCCCCTAGTTATATATTTCTTATGATTTGAGAAGTAGAAAATAATCATTATTGGAAAATATCTGAGTCAATATCGTATGACTTCTTGTTTTAAAAGATCAACCACCGATTAACAATGCAACGATTATTCTTCATCTTTGGACTTGGATAGTGGAATATTGCAGGACTTTTGCTCTTGGGGGATAATTCATAATTATTTGAAATATGTTTTTTTATGTTTTTGCAGTATCCTACAGCCCTTTTGGGGCTCTTGGAAGACTGCTGTTGATTGACACGGGCTTCGAGAATGCCCACAGTGGCTTCAGCCCTAACTCTTCCCTAGATATTCAGCTTCAGGCAACACCCAGCCAAAGAGCTCTGGGGACCAACGGGGATGCCAAACATAAGAAAATCATCACACGCATTTCTATTTTTAAACTAGAAGCAAAATGGTTAGTAGAGGTGAATTTTTTGTGAAATCTCAAATGATCATTTTTTTTCATCTGCATGGCTTTGTAGAACTAAAAAAAATCAATAACTCTACAATATTGGTAGAATTGAATATAAGGTCTTGCAATAAAGTTAAATGTATGGCTCAAATAAACATATTTCTATATAATTGGCTTTTAATCCTATTTGCATACCAGAGTCCTCTGTGAAGCTTAATACAGTTTATACAACTTTGTCAATTATACTTTTGTCAATTGAAGCGGAAAAAAGTGAAATCATCTGTGAAGATTGTTAAAGCTTAGATGCTTCAGTTTTGTGCATCTCTGCCACTTTGGGCGAGTCACCTAACCTCTCTGTGCCTCAGTTACTGCATCTGTGAAATGGGGGTAATATCTGCATCTTCTTGATAGGAATGCTCTGAGGATTAAATGGGTTAGTGTATGTAAAGCCCTCAGGACAGTGCCCAGCACATAGAAAACATGCCCTCATATAGTATTTGCTACTGTTATTCTATGTATGGGTCACTTGGATCTTTGTTTTGCAGAATTCTGGTCTGACTCTCAATATGAGTTTATTCATGGAGGAAGCTCAGTTTACCTATCTGGTATTGTGAATATGGGGCTAAGTGGGGAGAAAAGGTGTGCATATTGCACTTGTTAGGACAGTACTCCTATTAGTCATGTGTAGGGGCATTCATGAAAGAAGGGGAAGGTAAATGCATGCAGAGGTCATATATTGGAACTGGAGGCAGGTATCCCAGCACCCTAATGCTTCTAGAATGAGATTTTGCCTTGGTGTTTCTCCAAGGTCTTCCACAGTCTACTGAAATGTGTTTATTTTTCTAAAATGAAAACGATATGTTTATGGGGCACCTGGGTGGCTCAGATGGTTAAGCATCTACCTTCAGCTCAGGTCATGATCTCAGGGTCCTGGGATGGAGCCCCAAGTCAGGCTCCCTGCTCAATGAGGAGTCTGCTTCTTCCTCTTCCTCTGCCCCTTCCCCTGCTTGTGGTCTCTCCCTCTCTCAAGTAAATAAATAAAATTCTAAAAAAAGAAAATAGGTACGTTTGTACAACCAGAATCCCATTCTATATTATGTTTCAGCTTAAAGCATAGATCCCAAATTTTAAAATATGGTAACAAAACGTGGAATCAGTCTTGGATACAGTCAAGAAAGTTTGGCAACAAACGTTTGGCAGAAAGAACAAAATTTGTACAACTGTAGAAAGGACCTGAAATTATGGCCTGAGGTGCATACGTGTTCCGTGGTAGGATTTGTTTGTTATCATTAAGAATTCTTATACACTGTGACAAATGATCAATCACCTGTCAGCTCCCAATCTAAGCGTGCGTCCCCTGATTTGTAGTAAGCATCATGCTCAGCTCATCAGTAGAGGGCGATGGAGGGACACTACAGGAGGAAAGCATTTGTTTGGTTCCTTTGTTCTGTCAGTGTTTTTGCTCAGCTCCCTCTCTCTGCATTGGCCAGAGGCACCCAGGACCCATCCTTGCACCCAGCACGCGCAATCCCCAGTAAGCTCATTGCCTCAGTGTCAGCCAGGCAGCCCCCTCACACACTTCAGCCCTGTTGATGAGGACCCCATGTGCCCCAGGCTGCTTACCACCGACCCAGGAGGCGGGTTCCCAGCGGCCCCCCCTGGGAGGCTGCTTCCACCTGCCCAATACTAGACTGTGACCTCACCTTGGCAGGGCAATGGCTCCAAGGGACTCCACATGGGGTCCAAGGGCTCCAAGTACACTTCTGCAAGAGGTCTGAAGACCAGCCCCAAAAGCCAGCCCCCTCTCCTTCCTCTTTGTGCCTTCCTTGGGTTCTCTCCCTCAGCCCCAGGGTATTCCTTAGGACAGGGGTCAGAAACTTTGACCTGCTGCTGGTTTTTGTAAATAAAGATTTATTGGAACAGTCTCTTGCTCATGCATTTATATTTTGTCTCTGGTTGCTTTGATGTTGCAACAGCAGAGTTGAACAGCTCCAACAGAGACTTGATGGTCGGCAAACCTAAAATATCTAGTCTGGGTGCTTTTAAAGAAAAAGTTTGCTGACTTGTGCCTCAGAGTTCTTTGTCTCTTACAGTTAACTCCATTGTTTCGGTTAATAATTCTTTATGTTAAAATGCCCTTGTTCAAATTACTGTGTGGTTTCTGCATCCTAATCGGACCTTACTGATATGTGCACTATGTATCTGTACCCCAGCGGGGGGGGGGGGGGGGGAGGCAGGATTACAACCCATAGAGTTGGTGTCATTTCCATTTGGGAAAGAAGCAGCTACGATTCGACCCGAGACCAACAAAATCCCCAAGGCAAGGAAATATTGTGGATCTCGCTATTCCTCACAAAGTGGGAGAGGGGGAAAAAAATAGGGAGAACAATCATAAGTTAGTTATATCGATAAATTACCTCACCACATCCATACCTTATTCATTTGTTACACTTGAAAGCAATCCAGATGCCTAGCTCATAGTAAGAACTTAGTAAGTGATTTTGAGCGAATGAATTGAGTGTACGAATAATATTTTAAAAAACTGAAAATACACTATAGACAGCATTTTCTTTTTGATGCAAAGAAATGACAAATAATAAAATGTAGATAAGCTGTGGGTAATTTTTTTCCTCAAATATTGACTCTGTGTGAAAATTATGGGAAATATATAAAGAAAAGAGATGTGTCTGTGAATATATTATCTTAAGCTATACATGCAAATGAAGTGGAAAACGCAAGAAAAAGAATTTCTCCTGAAACATTCTGATAATTGAGACGAGCATTGCATTTTTGGTTTGAATTAGCTGAGCTGAACCAGTTACTCATTTGAGTTTGCATGTAAGGCCACAGCCACAGAGAGGTTCAT